GCACAGCTATATTCTCTTTGTGTGTCTTGTCTTTCATCTTTCGTCACACGCTGCTCCCCTCAGGCTCACTGAACCCTTGGCTGTGCTAGCAGGGCACAAGCTTGACTATAAATAAAGCATGTGACCAACATTTATTTAACTCTAACTTGAAGGTATTTTTTAAATATCTATATTGATATAAACTATATAGGGAGCAATTTCAAGGTGAGGAATTTGCATTTGCATTGTTAAAGGAGATTCTAGGTTTAAGGAAAGTAAGCCACTCTGGTTTTCTAAAATTTACTAATGTCTGACCCAGCTAATGTTATAACTCAGAATGAACTTTTTAACATACTTTAAGAATTTTCATACCAGAACTCAAGAGAATTATTTAACCCGGTGTACTGACTTCCTGAAAGCATGCAAATTTGAGTGAGTGTGCCCACTTTTGTTCTAACCTACATGGCTTTCACCATTTCCAGTCTCATCCATGAAGGTTTGAAATGAAGCTGTGGTTTTCAAAAATCATGGCACTGCTGCCCTCCTGTGGAAAGTTAGAGCATTATGACAATCCTTTCCTTAGCCCAGGTGTTGGCAACCTGCGGCTCCAGAGCAGCATGCAGCTGTTTTGAAGCATTGCTGCTGGCATTGCCGCAGCTCCCAGCAGGGCCGACACTAGCAGGGCCGATAGCAGGGGGCGGGCGGGGAGCTGTATCACTTACCTCCGCCCACCTCCAGCGCTCCCAGCGTTCTGTGTGGCAAGTTGCAGGCGACTTAGCGTTGCTAGGCAACCACAGCGTCCCTGTCCTGGCCAGCCTCCTTCCACTCTCACTAAAAATCAATGGAAAATAAATTAATGCCATATCTACAAATGTGGATAATCTAAAAAGTGATGGTTGTGGTCATTCAGATTGTTAATAAGATAATGGCAAAGGGTTTAAACCACGCCAGTTCCGTTTGCTATTGGATGAGGCGGAAAGCATATATTCTGACCTCCTGCTCCACAACAACCGGAGGTCAGAATATATGTTGTCTGCAAAACTGTCCAGAGGCGAGGTGTTAAAACGCTTTGTTGCATGTTTGGAAGAAGTAAAAACTTTCTTGGCCAGCAAAGAGCTCACCTTTGCTGAGCTGGAACAACCAGAGTGGCTGGAAAAATTACATTTTACGGTAGACATGACAGCACATCTAAACACACTAAATACAACCCTTCAGGGGAAAGGAGGCACAGCCCTGCACATGCTGGAGGAGGTTTTGGCATTCAAGCGCAAGTTGACAGTGTTTGTCAAAGATTTACAGAGAGGTACACTGTCTCACTTTCCCTCTTTGAGAGAGTTCAAACAAAGTCATGATACGATAAATTTGGAATATTTGAAGTCTGCAATCACCACAATGCAAAGTTCGTTTGGGAAACGATTCTGTGAGTTCAGAGAGGAAAAAACCACATTATCCTTCCCTGTCACTCCTCTGGCGATCGATCCATCCCTATTGAATATGATTGCATTTGCAGGTATAAGTCAACCTGATCTTGAGATGGAACTGGCTGATATAGCCGACAAAGATATATGGGTGTCCATGTTCAAATGCTTGACCGCTACTCTTGAGGATGTTGCCCGTCAGAAGGCCATTCTGGCTCAGAATCTTAAATGGAGTGATATTGAAAACCTTCCCAAACAGGACAAACTTGTATTAGAAACATGGAATGCTATCCCCAACACTTATATAAACATAGAAAAAGTATGCATTTGGAGTCCTGTCGATCTTCGGCTCCACATAAGTATGTATGCAGGTCTTCTCCAACATGAACTATATTAAAAACAAACATCGATCACGCCTCACAGATGACAACTTGCAAGCCTGTGTGAAAATGAAGGTAACGTCTTACAGCCCAGATGTGCAGACACTGTGCACTGAGGTTCAGGAGCAAAAATCCCATTAACCAGGTAAATTAAATATTTTAGCTATTAATTTGCAAAAATATATTTTACATTGTTAAGTGGAAAAGTCTTTTTTTTTTCAGATTGACAGCTAACTGCACGATCTGGTATCTAGCATTAAGGTAAGAAACAATATATGCAGTGTTATATTTGTTTTAAATGTCGCAATGGTTTTGCGGCTCCCAGGTTTTTTTTTCCTTCGGAAACGGGTCCAAGTGGCTCTTTATGTCTTAAAGGTTGCAGACCCCTGCCTTAGCTTTTCAAATTGTCCTCATTCAGAGGTTTGTCACTGCTTTCCTTACCAGAGGTCCTATGTGATGTCACTTTAAATGTGGTATTAATAAACTCTCATCTGGTTTCCTCTTGTGAAATTAACATGATAAAAGGCTAAACTTTGTCTCTTAGGAATACCAGATTTGTTGTCTGTAAACTGTTTTCCTTCCCTCTCATTTACATACCAGAGAAAATAAAGTGAAATAAGAACAGATCACATTGAGAAAGTTACCCACCCTGATTGCTGAACCTGCATAGGGGTAGTAAACACCCATGTTAGCAGGAGGAGCCACATGTGGTTATTTTATATACCTTTAAAAAAAAAAAATTGTATGTTGCAGTAGAAAGCCTTATACTGAAAATCAGAAACAAGTAACAAGCTACAGCTCTGCTCTCCTGGAATTTAGATTAGGACATGTGGATTCAACTCTGTAATCTACTCACGTTGAGCACTTTTATTTACGATATTTGGAAAAATGATTGGTCATTGAACATCTTATCGCCACCTGAAAAGGCTCCTAGGAAAATATTCTTCAAGTTGCAAATGACATGGGACTCAATTATGAGAGCCTCTTTGGATCCCACAGAACCTGCTTCTCACAGTCTAGTGTGGTGAATCAGAAGGTGGTCTTGATAAAATGCAGATTCTGATTCAGTAGGTCTGCTGTTTGTGGTAGCTTGAGTCGTGGCCTCACAGATGGTGGGTTACAGCCATGCTGTTCCAGGGACCTGTGATGTTACATGCATGGCAAAGGGTTTTCTCCGATGAGACCTTGGGTGGGGAGATTACCCTATCTTGTCCAGATGGGGCCCTAAATGTAATCACAGTCTCCTTCTAAGAGGAAGGCAGAGGGAGATGTGACTACAGCACCAGGCAGTGTGACCTCTCAAGCAAAATGCTGCGGGTTGGAGGATGGAGGCAGGAGCCAAAAAGCAAAGAATGCAGCTCCAGAAGCTGGAAAAGGCAAGGGAACTGCTTCTCTCCCAGCCCCCTGGTGAGGGTGGTCCAGCCCACACCTTCACTTCCACCCAGTGAACCTGATTTCTGACTTATGACCTCCAGAACAAAAGAATAAATGTGTGTTGTTTTGAGACACTGTGTGAATGTTTGTGTTCCTCCAAATTCCTGTGTTAAATCCTAACCTCTGCTCTAAACAATTTGGCTTCAGTGGCCTTTGACTAAACAGTCCCAGGTTCTATTCCGGTCAAGGGCATCTAACTTGGTTGTGGACACATACCCAGTAGGGAGTGTGCAGGAGGCAACTGATTGATGTTTCTCTCTCATTGATGTTTCTAACTCTCTCTCTCCCTTCATCTATGTAAAAAATCATATATATATATAAAAAGTATATATTTTTTTAAATTCTAACCTCTCTAAGGTGATGGCAAAAGGAATTGGGGCCACTGGGAAGTTACTAAGTCAGAGAGCACATGAATGGGATTAGTGTCCCTATGAAAGGATCCCAGGAAAGGCCCTCAGCCCTCTGCCACGTGAACTTACCGCTAGAAGGCACTGCCCATGAGCCACAAAGCTGGCTCTCTCTAGATGCCCGCACTGCCAGGGCCTGGATCTTGGGCTTCCCAGCCTCCTGAGCTGTGAGGACCGCATTTCTGTTATTTACCAGCTGCCCAGGCTGTAGCATTGTTTCTAGAGGCCGGAAGACACTGAGCATCTCAACCTGCTGTGACTTGTTACCACAGCCACAGGAGACGAGCCTTCAATGCCGTGGGTCCTCAGAACACACAGTGAGGAGCAAAGTCACAGAAGAGTGGTTGCCAGCCTGGCCTCACATTAGCATCTCCGGGGAGGAATTTGAAACAAACATCAGAAAGCAATGCCAGGCCCCAGTGTTGGGAGAGCTAAGGCAGAACCTGTAAGGGTGGCGGCTAAGCACTCTGTGCAGGCTCCTTGGGTGGAACTGATCAGAAGGTGAGGAGGAGCTGTCTCAAGAGAATATACCCAAAGTACAGTTTTTTTCCCCCGAGGAAAACATTATATATATATATATGTATGTGTATATATATGTGTGTGTGTATATATATATATATATATATATATATATATATATATATATATTTGCATATATTTGCATATATTTATATATATTTGTCTATATATTTGTATATATTTGTGTATATATTTGTGTATATATATATATATCCAGAGAGGAAGGGAGAGAGATGGAAACATCAATGATGAGAGGGAACCATTCATTGGCGGCCTCCTGCATGTCCCCCACTGGGGATCAACCCCACAACTTGGGCATGTGCCCCTCACCAGAATCGAACCTGGGTCCCCTCAGTCCGCAGGCCCATGCTCTATCCACTGAGCCAAACCAGCTAAGACAAGGAACACTATTAAGCTCCCCAACATGGACACAGAAGTCTTCCCCCGCCCCTCTGCCCCCCACCTCCCCTGCTCCTCCCAAACTAATGAGGCCTGGGCCAACATCTCATGTGAAGAATGATTGGGCTTGAGGCTTAACACGTTATTTCACCACAATTGTGTTCAGATTTGCGTTGCGGGCTTATTAGGAAAACCTCGGCCTTTATTGCCACAGGTGGAAACTATTGCCAGTTCAGCCTGCAGGAGGCTGGTGGGAGGTGAGATGGGGACCAGGCTTTGCTCCATTCCCTCCAGGGCTAAAGCACAGACAGGGGCGGAGGCTCCGCCCCGCAGATGGCCATTGGCTCCTCCCCCCTCCACTGGAAAGCTCAGGCCACGCCCACATGCACGTGACACATTTGGGAGATTGTTGCATCCCTTAGCTGCCCTCTAAAAGGCAAGTTACTCACAGTCCCTGGGGGTTCCCTCTGAGGTGGGGAAATGAAGATGTCTTCTCAACCACGCAGGACATCTTCCCGCCGAATGGAGAGTCCCTTTTCGCGGGGCTTCCTTGGGGTGCTTTTGCTGGCCCTAGAGCTCCTGCTACCCACATGCTCAGGTAGGGGAAGGGCAAGGGTGTCAGCTCTGGAGGCGAATTAAAAAGAGGGTTGGGTAACTGGTAAATAACGGAAATGCGTGTGGTTGCCATGGTACCACCATTCTTTTCTAACTACTGAGTTCCAGAAAAATGAAGTATAATAATATTCAAAAGGAGCTACCTGGCCAGTAAACTTTCAAGTCCAACAGAAAAACAAAAACTACCTTGAGGAAAATGAAAAGAAAACCAAAACCTTGCAAAAGGTAAGGGATAGAATGAAAGCAGTCATAAGACGGAAGTTTATTAGCTATAGCGGCTTTCATCAGGAAAATAGCAAAAACTATGATTTCACACGTGTGGGATATAAAACAAAAAGCAACAAATGAAAAACAAAAAAGCAACCAACACAACTCACAGTTACAGAGAACAAGATGGTGGTTAAGCGAAGGGAAGTAGTGAGGAGGTTGAAGGGAGGTGAGGGGGTGAAGGGAGGTGAGGGAAAGAGACTAAACTTCACAAGTAGAGTCTCCAGATGGCCTGTTACAACTTTGTAACCCCTGAAATTTATATAATGTTATTAACCAACATTACCTCTTTGGATTTAAAAACAGTCACATAGTGTTTGTGATTTGATAGAAAAACAAATATATATTTTAAAGTTTCACATCAGTCTGCCATAGACCAATCCAGGGCATAAGAGGTTCCTCGGGGATCAGCGTAGATCTAGCTCCTTTCTTACATGCTTATTCTTACAGGAGGAACCTCTGCATGCTGTTAGCCCTTCAGGACTTTACTTAATGTGTCTCCATCACATTACCTTTCATACTAATTCTATCAGCTTTGTTAGTTTGTCAACCCCACTGACAATGTAAAAGAAGAGGAATGGCCAAAGTGAAAAAGGTACGATTCTAGGAAGAAAAAAAAACTACCAAAATCCATTAAAAAAAAAAAAAATTCTAATGGCAGAGCAATATTCTAGCACAGTTTAAACAGCTACCTCAGAGAACTTCTGAGGCCAAGCATGATCCATTGATTAGCAAAGGTAGAATAAATTAAACTTGAAAGTTATACATTTTGACATTTCATTGACCTTTGTTTACTCAGTTCACTGATGTGAAACATATCACACAAAGTCATCTATTTTAAAATATTTAGTCCATATTTATTTTGATCTCTAAAACACACAATCCTTATTTGATAAGTCAGCACCTACCATAGCATGTCTTGAGCACACACTGGGCACAGGGTGTAGTAGGAACAGAAGACATATGATCCCTGACCTCTAGGAACTTTGCCTCCTGGAAGGAGACTGAGCCCGAAGTAACAAGTCATCATCAGTTTGTGTTTCAAACCATGGGAGAGTACTCTCAACGAGGGCTATTGACTATAGGAGCCTTCTTAGGGAGGGAGTTGAGTGTGGAATAAACTTACCAAAGAAATGGGAAGGGCATATCTCTATAAATATATTTTAAACCCAAACTATTGCTGCTATGTCTTCAATTACTGTTGAAAGAATATTCAGACTATTTCCAAAGAAACCAAACGCTAATAGGATGTGGTTTAAAACAAGCATAGCTCATCATCTGGTAAAAGCCGGGCACAATCAGTTAAAATCTCAACAGGGGCCTTCATGTATTTTCTACAACCTGCCTGCTGCCAGGCCATACTCCGTGGCTGGTGGAAAAGAAAATACTTTAGTTTCATGTTCTTATTCTCTCATGCCCAGATGCCTGTGATGACTCACCAAGATACCAATCGATGAAAATAAAAGGTATTCCTCAACCCCCTTATAGCGCTGGGCAGAAAATAGTATATGAGTGTCGCCCAGGATACAAGCGTATTGTTCCTGCTCTTCCTGTCGAAGCTGTGTGTCAGGCTGATGGCACATGGGCTCCTGCTCTCCAGGAGGCTTGCACAAGTAAGTACACAACATTTTCATTTTTATAGCTCTAAAGATTTTCACACATTGTAGACTGCATATTCCATTATTACCACCATGGCTTCCTCATGTGGATGTACATTTTAGGTAACAATGCACTTTTTCCGGCTTTGAAAATCTCCAGAGAACTTTTAACTTGGCCATCAATGCTCTGGGTCCATGTGAATCTTAAGTTTGGCCATTAGTAGCAGCATGGATTGACCTTAAGAATATTATGCTAAGCAAAGTAAGTCTGTCAGAAAAAGCTAAGCACCTATGATTTTTCTCATATGTGAGATATAAATCTGAATTCTTGTAGACACAGACCACAGTTTGGTGGTTATCAGAGGGAAGAGTTGGAGGGTCTGGAGGAGGAAGGGTAAAGTGACCACATATATGTAATGGGAGATGGCTTAACTTTGTGTGCTGGACATACGGTGTTATATACAGATCATCCTATATAATAAAAGGCTAATATGCAAATTGTCCCTACTGGTGGAAATTCGAATGACCAGGAGTTATACGTGTGCTGACCACCATGGGAAGGTGGGAAACATTGGCTTGCATTGGCACCAGGGCAGGCAGCCGGGGGAAGGGATCCTCCCCGCCCCCTTGTCTACCACCACCCCCGCCAGCTGTGAGGGACCCTACCCATGCACGGTTTTCATGCACTGGGCCTCTAGTGTAACATAAACCTGAATATTTGACACCTACGTAAGCTTATGAATCAATGTCACCTCAATAAATAAAATAAAATGTAATAAAGATAAATAAGACAAAACATTTCCATTGATCTAATAGCACAATGTAAAATTTTTATTTCGATGATTCAAATCTGTTTTGGCATTAGTATAAAACAACAAATTTGAAAAATTTCCTTTTAGGAAAGACATGTCAGCAGATAGGAGAACCTGCAAATGGTGAATTAATCTATGCAAATGGAACTAGAGAGTTTGGCTCACAAGCTCACTTCACATGTCATGATGGGTAAGTAAGCTGCTCCTTGGAAGAAGAAGGTCAACGTTGCTGGTCCCATTTTTGGTCTGGTTCTCTTCTTCTCAAGCATTTCCATTCTGTTGATTTCATGTTGCTGACTGTGGAACAAGTTGTACTTACAGCCAGCCAACCCTTGGGCTTTTTATGGAGACTGAAAATATGTGCAGTGAATAGAAAGAAATGTACCTTGAAAGAAAGCAAAATTGTATCGTATGATAACCATAAGCCTATCATAGTCATTAAAAATGTAGTAATCCTGGTGACATGGTTCTACATTAAACTATAGGGTAGGCTGCAGGGTAGAAAGAGAGACAGGGAGTTCATCAGTTAGCAAAAAAAATGGCAGGAACTAATGAAATGTGTGTTGAAACTTTGAATGAACTTCCTGAGCTACTTCAGAATCATGTGAATAGAAGAGCTCTTATGGCTCCTATTCAGCAAGGGCTAGCTGACCACCAGATTTCACTGCGTCCTACTTACACAGCAACCTTTCTGATTGCTGCCAATAAACCATTCAAAAGCAGCAAACACTTCTTCCTACCAACTGTGCACCTATCCCAGGACTAGCCCCACTTACCCTTCTTCTGCCCCCTTATCTGTAGCCCATGTAACTTTCTTCAGAATAATTACATCTTCCTCCTCAAAGCTGTAAGAGAACCCATTAAACCAGGAGGGCGGGAATGCTTGCCTTCATCTGTCCCTGCTGCTGCTGGTGGTTCAGACTGCACGCCCCTGGACCTGGTCCTTTTTTCTGGGGAGCACATGGTTAGTCAGGAAACCTGCTCCTTCAGGAAAACATTAGTCTGTGAAGGTTTTGTTTCGCAACTTTATCCCGTTGTGGTCAGAGAAGATACATCCTTTCCAATAAAAGAGCAATATGCAGATTGAGCACCACTCTAACACACAAGAGAGCTGCCCCCTTGTGGTCAAAGATCCTGCCCCTATGTGGACACAAGATGGCCACCACAAGATGGCCAGCAGGGGAGGGCATTTGGGAAGCACCAGACCTGCAAGGGAGGGCAGTTGAGAGGGACAAAGCCTGCAAGGGAGGCCAGTTAGGGGTGATCAACCTGGCAGGGGAGGGCAATTAGGGGTGACCAGGCCAGCAGAGGAGGGAAGTTAGGCACAAACAGGTTGGCAGGGGAGCAGTTAGACATCAATAAGGCTGCCATGGGGGTGGTTAGGGGATGATCAGGATGGCAGGCGGAAGTCGTTAGGGGCAATCAGGAAAGCAGCAAAGTGAGTAGTTGGGAGCCAGCAGTCCTGGATTGTGAGAGGGATGTTTGACTGCCTGGCCTAAATGGGCAGTTGGACATCCCTCAAGTTGTCCCAGATTGGAGAGAGGGCAGGCTGGGCTGAGGGACACAACCACTTTCTAGCCCCCTCCCCCCCACACACACACACACACAAATTTTTTGCACCGGGCCTCTAGTTGTATGATATCTGTCTTTTTTAAAACTTATTGATTTGTTCATATTAAATTGTGGCTCAGAGTATGGTCTATGCATGGAGGTGTCCCATGTGCACTTAGGAGTATGTGTATTTTGTTTTGTGGTGCTCTGTCTGCGAGATCTATTGATTGTATTCTGGAAATCCTCTATTTTTAGCCTTACTTATTTTCAATGTAGTAGTTGTGAGTAGGATATTGAAGTCTGCAAGCATTACTGAAGAAATGCCTGTTGCATAGAAATGTGTATTTCTCGCTACAGCGGTCAGGCATGTCATGTTTATTTAGACACTGGTCTGGGCTAATGTGTGTTCTTATGAAGAATCTCTCCATTTCCTTACATTGCAGATTTAGTTAACATATTCAATCCCTGTCACTTCAGAAACTTCTCCCTGCAATTACGGTAGTGCAGAAAACAACCATAGAAAAGCTTCTTCATAATTATGTGTTCTTGTTAACTGATAAAGAAACAATAATCATTTCTTTCCTCACATAGTTATTATTTAATCGGACCAAAAATTCTATACTGTGAACTCGCTGGAGATTCTGTGGAATGGAGTGATAATCCACCAGCTTGTGAACGTGAGTACATTCTCTCTTTAGAATTGACAGCAGTTCTCAAATTTTATATCTTGAGGACCCCTGTATGCTTTACAATTAAGACCCCACAAGGATTTTATGCATGTGGGTTAGTGCTATTGATATTCCTTATATTGAGATTAAAGCAGAGAAGTTTTTTTTAAATAATTACTTGTTATTTCATGTTTAAGACCAGTAAGCTAAATACATATTAACAAATGCAACATATTTTTTTGTAAGATCAAACATTTCCAAAACAAAGGGAAGAGTGTCATTGCTTTACATTTTTTTCTAATCTCTTCAGTATCTGCCTTAAAGGAAACCCTCCAGATTCTTTCTGTGGCATTATCATTCTAAATGCATTGGAAAATTTCACTGGACACTCTAAGGATGACATGAGAAAAGACAAAATCGTGGTATACCTGAGAACCACTGATTTAGAAAAGGATGTAGCATTTCTCAACTAGCACTGAGTTTTCCTAAATCATATTTTCTCATTAAATTACCATAATTAGAAAAAGCAGCATGGCCTTACAGATACACACAGATCTTTCATACAGTTATCTTCTATGGGGACTTAAAAAAATGGGGGAGTTCTCCTAAAATTTTATTTCTCTATTGATGGTTTGAATTGGGATAATAACATTTTTAATAGAAATGTTTTTCCAATAGATATTGAATTTGCAAATAGATGTAGAAATCATATGTTAATGAACTTCTTGAGGACATAATGCTATATTAATCTTTTCTATTTATTTTGCCTTTCTGTTCTCTCTTTTTCCCCTTTTTTAAGGGATTTTGTGTAAACCACCTGCAAAAATACCAAATGGAGATTTCACTGGTAGCTACAAGTTTGAATTTGAATACTATGAAATAGTAACTTACAGATGTAGGCCTTCCGGTGGACCAGATGAGTATTCGCTTGTTGGAGAGAAACAGCTTACCTGTGTTGGGCCTGACAAATGGAGTGGTGAGCCTCCTGAGTGTAAAGGTAATACACTTCCATTGTTCTCCCTCTCCACTATAAATATTGGGGAAACTTTTGCCAACTTTTAAATACTTTGGCCAACAAGTGACAACAAAACAAAACCCCAGCCATATGTGCTTGTTCCCCCTGTTAAATTTGTTTCTAATCTAATTTTATGTGCCAAATAGAATATTTAAAAATATAAGTCTACTGGTCTAGTTTCCCACTCTTCACCCTCATGTCATTGGCATTCCTGTTTGTACATTGTTAATAGCTATGTATATGCGTGAGTACATTGTTTGGCTTAAAAGCATCAGAAAACACTAGTTTTAAGAAAGTTTTATCCAATAATACAAGAAGTATGGCAGTTCTGGCTCAACTAAATGGTAGAGTCAATTGTAAAAGACTAAACCTGTTACCAGTAAGATTGATAAAGTCCAGGCAAAACATGCAGGCATATCTTTTTAAATTGTGCTTTGCTTTATTGCACTTCACACACACACACACACACACACACACACACACACACACACATACATACATACATATGTATGCATACATATATTCTTACAAATTGATTACAGCTACTAGCAAAAAAAACCATAACCTGCTTTACTTCCATACTCACCTACTGCTATAGTCTGAAACAAACCTGAACTATCTCAGAGGTTTACCCCTACTTAAAAAACAAGATCTAAGGCATTCGAGCATGACATAAAGCAGGACACACTGGGGGATATTTGACACTTGAACAAAATTAACCACTGAAAAACAGTAAAATATGTCTTCTTTTTACACGCATATGTAACATTTTTTAGTACCATATACTAGGCAATATGTTTCAAAAGTTTTTTTAATTTCAAAAATTGAAATTATTTACAGTACAGTATCTTTACAATGGAATGAATGTAGAAATAGAAGTAAAGATATCTGTAAAATCCCTAAATATTTAAAAATTATGAAGATATTTTTAACTAATCATGGATAAAACAAGGAGTCATAAGGGAAATTAGAATGTGTTTTGAATTTAATGAAAATACAATATATTGAAATATCAAAATTTGTGAAATACAGCTAAAGCATTGCTTAGAAGAATATTTATAGCAAATACATATATTGGAACAAGAGAAAAGTTTCAGCTCAAGAATATAAGCTTTCACTTTAAGGAATTAAAAAGGAAGAGCAAGTTGGATACAGAACAAGAAAACAGAAAGAAATAATAAAGATAGAAATCAATAAAATTGAAAAAATATAGAATTATTGAAACCAGCACGTGGTTCTTGGGGGGGATCCATAAAATGAATAAAGCTATAGCAAGTCTGACAAACAACTAGAAGACACAAATGACCAACATCAAGAATGAAAAAAGTGTGTGGCTGCTTTGGTTTAGTGGTTAGATCATCAACCCAAGTGCTGAAGGGTCTCTGGTTCAATTCCTGATCCAAGGCATGTACTTTGCTTGCAGACTTGATCTCCTACCTGCTGAAGGCAACCAATAGATGCATCATTGACCCATCGATGTTTCTATAACTCTCTCTTCCTCCTCCTCCTTCCCTTTCACTCTCTCTAAATAGCAATTAAAAAAATATCCTCTGGTGAAGATTTTTTAATAAAATAAGTTTTTTAAGAGAACATCACTAAATAGCCTGCATACATTTAAGTGACAATAAGCAAATAACATGTACAACTTTATGCCAAGAAATACGACACTTAAATCCCACAAACGGAAGTGCAGGCCCCAGCCATCACTAGGGATTGTAGCAACATTTCAGTATTAACAATAGCAGCTCTACACAAACTCTCCAAGAAAATACAATAGGAGTGACTACTTCTCACCTCATCCCTGATACCAAAACCAGACACAACATAGAAATAGGCATACAAATTGTAGGAAAGTGAAAAACAATATCCACTGTGAACATAGAACCAAAACGGTCAGCGATGGTGAAGTTCATCTCTGCCCTGAGATAGCCTCTGGCCAGAAACAGCACTCTGTGCCCTCAGTTCTTGTCATGCTTGAAGGATTGAATTCAAACAAGAGACAACAAGTAGCAGCAAAATCAAGGGAGAATTCATTGGCAGAAAAAGGAGGACACTCAGAACCTGAGCGGGCTGACACCAAACCAAGTGCCCTGATATTTGGGAGTTCAGAGGATTTATACCCCTAGGCTGGAATGCCCCTAGCAAGGAGGATCAAGTCACGTCTTTTTCCTCAAGACTCAAGAAAAAGTATCTTCAAACTGTAAGGCTCCTTCACGCAGGTGTATGCCACCGCTTACACCACATCCTGGAGCGGCTCTACATGTTCTCTCCTCACAGAAGGGCCTGATGCCTCCCGTGTCTATTTTTGGTTTGTCACCTCTCACTGGATCCCCTCCACCCTCAGCTGCCTAGTCTAACCAAAGGATTAAAATATTAGCAAGTAAAATCCTGTCATATCATAAAATAAGAATACTATATCATAATCAAATAGGATTTATTCCATGAAGGCAAAGTTGTTTCAAATTAAAAAATTAATCAGTGTAATTTACCACATGGAGAGACAATAAAGAAGGAAAAACACATGACCTTCTTAATAGATGCCAAAAAAGGCATTTGACAGAACACTGAGTCAACTAGGAATAGAAGGAACCTCACTCAACCTGATAAAAGGGACCTACAAGAATCACACAGCTAACATTCCACTTTATTTCTCATTGAGATAGAAATGAGATAGGGATGTATATTGCTGAAACTGGTTTGGCTCAATGGATGGAGCTTTGGCCTGTGGACTGAAAGGTCCTGGGTTTGATTCTGGTCAAGGGCATGTACCCTGGTTGCGGGCATGTCTCCAGTAGGGGGTGTGCAAGAGGCAGCTGATGGATGTAACTATGAAGTTTTAACTTGATCTCAGCCTGTGAGATTACAATGTAAAATGTGGGGTTTGATCTCTGAGTTTCAGAGTCCAAAATATTTAGAAAACACGATCTAAAGTTCAGTGGCCTTTCTATTTCTTGCACATTCCAATTCCTCCATGTTGTTGATACATGATTACTTTTTCTCTTCATAAGTTTGCATGCCTACGTTCTTTTCAACTTTTTACCTTTGAGCTCAAGCATTATCTTATTTACAGGAGCCTTTCTTGCCTTTCTAGATCAGGGTACTAAGTCATCAGCCTGAAATTTAGGGGAGGAAATTTTAATCTTTTTTTTAAAGAGCCTCAAAACCTCCTTTGAATTTACCTGAAAATTGTATGTGGTAATCAGACCTTTTCAAAACTTGTCGGTAATGGAAAAACATATAGGAACACAATCACCTATGTCTCTCTATTTATCTGAAATTAAAATGCACAAATAGGCCTTGATGTGTGGTTCGGTGGCTGAGCGTTGACTTATGAATCAGGAGGTCATGGTTCCATTCCTGGGTGCATGCCTGGCTTTTGAGCTTGATCCCCAGTAGGGGGTGTGCAAGAAGCAGCTGATCAATGTTTCACCCTCAGGAATGTTTCTATGTCTCTCTACTGTGTTCTCTCTGTAAAAAAATAAAATAAGATAAAGTAAATTTAAACATTTATTTATTACACAAATAAAGTACTTTTTAAATTAGCATTCTGCCTTCCATTCCTTGCATTTTGTTCCCAGGGGAAGATACTACTTTGCACTAGTTTTTCTTTCCATTGTTGAAACACTTCCCATTAATTCTGGACTTCCTTCACTTACCAGTGGTCAAATGTGACTTTCCAGCAGTCCAGAATGGAAAAATGGTGTCCGGATTTGGACCAAAAATTCTATACAAAGCAGAGGTTACATTCGAATGCGATGCGGGATTTCAGCTAGAAGGCAGCAACACTATTGTCTGTGGAGCTGACAACACTTGGAAGCCAGAGATCCCAAAATGTATTAAAGGTACAAAGGGGGCTCTTTTTGTCTTTTTGTTTAGATTTTATTTCTTTGCCATTCAATAACAATGATACAGAATAATTGAAGTTTTTTGAATTAATTCCGTCTCACATTCATTTCCATGACAGAGGTATGACATCAAATGTATGTTATCATAGGGTCTTAGTCTATTATATATATCACACAGTTGTCTACATTTCTGGCATTTCTTATGTGTCAAATATATAACAACATTTTTTTAGAGTAAATTGAAGCATGGGAATTTCTACATAAAAAAGAATCTACAGGCATAATTCATATAAATTTCAAAATGTAATAATTTTGAAGTGATTCATCTCACTGTTATTTTTTATAGGGGCAACTACCAAAGCTTCTAGCACAAGTTTCAGTTCCTCTGGTTTAATAACTTTCTGCTTATATTATTTAATACCTGGAATTTTTTATTTTGTAATCCTTTAACTATCTGGTGATTTACACTCATTCATCCTTTTTAGTAATGAAAGGAGGAAAAATATATTCACAGCCATTCTAGGTGCTATACTTCGTGATCCTCCCACTATCTGCCACAGTCTGCAACATCAGAGCCAGCTTGGACATGTTATGTAAACCTTGAAAGTGTTTACTTACATATAAGAAAATTGAATGTGTTCCTCACTGGTTGATAGTAGAGTTAAAATGGTACATATTTTAAGCAGCTAGCATAAGGCCCGGCATATAGGAAGCTCTTAAAGGAAACTTATTTATGACTTACAGCATCATTCCAATTAATGTTAGTGAAAATGAAGGTCCGAGGCTTTTGTTCTTAATATGTATGTTTCCTATGTCATCAACTTAGCCATTTTATTATTCTTAAAACGACCTGTTGGCACCTTCACAAGGTGTCTTTGTGACCTAGGATGATGATGTACAGTATTTCCCAGACTATCCCAGTTTCATTCGTTTGATGAACTGGGAAATTTCTGCTGTCTCTAGAACAACCACCTTACCTCTTACTGCCTCCTAGAATTATGATTTTTCTCTTTGCTGGGCATTTTTATTTGGCAATATAGGCAAATTTCCTAGCAATGGAAAGGCAGGAGAAGTCCTTAAGTAATGAAGTTAAATGGGGACTTCTTATATAGACTGCTGGTCAATGTCTCTCCTGAAGACTTAGGAGATGATTTTGCTATGAGGGAACAAATTGTCTTTCTGATTTTAGTGCTGCTGTCTCTGGCTTCTCTTTGTTTTCAGCAGAAATGAGAGACAAGAGAAACATGGTAGTCACCACTTATCCATGGTTTCACTTTCTGTGGTTTCAGTTACCCACAACCGTGACCTGAAAAGATTAAGTGGGGAATCCAGGAATAAGTAATCCATAACTTTTATATACGTGCCATCCTGAATAGCATGGCGAAATATCACACTGTCCCACTATTTCTCACCCCGGCCAAGAAAATCATCCCTTGGTTCAGTGTCTTCCCCTCACTTTTTCCCATCACGTAGGCACTGCATCATCTCACATCATGGCTAGAAGAAGGGATAATGCAGAGCAATAGCATATTTTCAGAGGGAGAGAACACATTCTCGTTGATATTATAGGATATTGTTATGCTTATTCCATGTTATTAGGAGTTGTTGTTAGTCTCTTACCTTGCCTAACTTATAAATTAAACTTTATGATAGATATACAGATAACATATATAGGGGTTTGGCCCGTGCTCTATCTACTGAGTCAAACTAGCTAGGGCAAAGAAAACTCTTAAGCTCCCCAATATATGACACACTAGTCTACCCCGCCCCTCTGCGCCCCATCTCCCCTGTCTTTCCAGAACTATATGTTGGCTTCTCAGTGAGGCCTGGGCCAACATCTCATGTGAAGAATGATTGGGCTGGAGACTTAACACCTTATTTCACATACCTAAATTTTGTTCATATTTGTGGCCTTCATTGCCTTCATTGCCACAGATGGGAACTGTTGCCAGTTCAACCTGCAGGAGGCCAGTGGGTGGCTGAGATGGGGACCAGGCTTTGCTCCATTCCCTCCAGGGCTAAAGCAGAGCCATGGGTGGAGGCTCTGCCCAGAAGATGGCCATTGGCTCTACCCCACTTTCCTGGAAAAGCACAGGCCACGCCCACATGCCATCATGCAAGTGAAACCTTTTGGGGATTTTTTGTGTCCTGGAGATGCCCTCAAATGCAAAGTGGCTCACTGTCCCTGGGCTTTCCCTCTGAGGTGGGGAAAATGAAGGTGTCTGCCCAGCTGCGCAGGGCATCTTACAGCCAACTGGAGAGTCCCTCTTTGGCTGGCTTCCTGGGGATTCTTTTGCTGCCCTACAGCTCCTGCTACCCACATGCTCAGGTAGGAGAAGGGCAAGGGTGTCAGCCCTGGAGGCAAAATAAAAAGAGGGTTGGGTAACTGGTAAATAACAGAAATGCATGTGGTTGCCATGGTACCACCATTCTTTTCTAACTACTGAGTTCCAGACAAATTAAGTATAATAATATTCAGTAGGAGCTACCTGGCCAGTAAACATTCAAGTCCAACAGAAAAACAAAAACTGCCTTGAAAAAAATGAAAAGAAAACCAAAACCTTGCAAAAAGGTAAGGGATAGAACTAAAGCAGTCATAAGATGGAAGTTTATTAGCTCTAGCAGCCTTCATCAGGGAAATTGCAAAAACTATGATTTCACACGTGTGGGATATAAAACAAAAAGCAACAAATGAAAAAAAGCAACCAACACAACTCACAGTTACAGAGAACAAAATGGTGGTTATGCGAAGGGAAGTTGTGAAGAGGTTGAAGGGAGGTGAGGGGGTTGAAGGGAGGTGAGGGGGTAAAGGGAGGTGAGGGAAACAGACTAAACTTCACAGATAGAGTCTCCAGATGGCCTCTTACAACTTTGTACACCTGAAATTTACATAATGTTATTAACCAACATTACCTCTTTGGATTTAAAAACAGTCACATAGTGTTTGTGATTTGATAGAAATACAAATATATATTTTTAAAGTTTCACATCAGTCTGCCATAGACCAATCCAGGGCATAAGAGGTTCCTCGGGGATCAGCATAGATCTAGCTCCTTTCTTAGATCCTCCATCTTACAGGAGGGACCTCTGCATGCTGTTAGCCCTTCAGGACTTTACTTAATGTGTCTCCATCACATTACCTTTCATACTAATTCTATCAGCTTTGTTAGTTTGTCAACCCACAGTCAATGTAAAAGAAGAGGAATGGCCAAAGTGAAAAAGGTACTATTCTAGGAGGAAAAAAAAAAAACTACGAAAAACCGAGAAATAACAAATTTTAATGGCATAGCAATATTTGTAACACAGTTTATAAACAGCTAACTCAGAGAACTTCTGAGGCCAAGCATGATCCATTGATTAGCGAAAGAAGAATAAATTAAACTTAAAATAATGTGAAAGTTATACATTTTGACATTTCATTGACCTTTATTTACTCAGTTCACTGATGTCAAACATATCACACAAAGTCATCTATTTTAACATATTTAGTCCATATTTATTTATATCTCTAAAACCCACAATCCTTATTTGATAAGTCAGCACCTACCATAGCATTTCTTGAGCACACACTGGGCACAGGGTGTAGTAGGAACAGAAGACATATGATCCCGAACCTCTAGGAAATTTGCCTCCTGGGAGGAGACTGAGCCCGTAGTAACAAGTTATCATCCGTTTGTCTTTCAAACCATGGGAGAGTACTCTGAACCAGGGCTATTGACTATAGGAGCCTTCTTAGGGAGGGAGTTGGGTGTGAAATTAACTGAGAGAAAAAATGGAAAGGGCACATCTCTATAAATAAATTTTAAACCCAAACTATTGCTGCTTTCTCTTCAATTTACTGTTGAAAGAATATTCAGACTATTTCCAAAGAAACCAAACGCTAAAAGGATGTGGTTTAAAGCAAGCATAGCTCAACATCTGGTAAAAGCCAGGCACAATCAATTAAAATCTCAGCAAGGGCCTTCCATGTATTTTCTACAACCTGCCTGCTGCCAGGCCATACTCCGTGGCTTGTGGAAAAGAAAATACTTTAGTTTCATGTTCTTATTCTCTCATGCCCAGATGCCTGTGATGACTCACCAAGATACCAATCGATGAAAATAAAAGGTATTCCTC